TAGTAAAGTCCACCCTTCATGTCCCCTCGCCAGATTCACAGGAGAATCTTATTTAAGTTGATGTCCTGTTTCGGCGTCGACGTACTTGATTGCTGGGGGTATACCCTCGACCTTTTACGTTTGGGGTTCTTTAAACAATATTTCCTTTTCATCGCCCTTCACAGTACGCCACACGAAGTTAATTGACTGCTTGTTGCCAGCGTGCAAACCATGAAAGGCATGTGTTGATTCGTTGACTAAAGTTGTGTTCGGCCATCACACACGTGGAAGGGACCCAACTTCCAAGTTACTGAATTTGTCCGACTTGGTGGTAGTGGAAACGCTTGGAAATGGGTGTTTTCGTGACACCTAACTGAGCTGCCGTCGAACAGAGTTTGCAATTCCGTACCTTCAAAATATCGAGGCTGCGATTCGGGGCGCGGCTTATCACCAAGATCGAAATCACCGCTTTTGAAACCTTTGGAATAATAATCGATGTCGGCACCAAGATGACTACAAATTGATTCCTCCGTGCTACGAATTGAGCGTGTTTCAATCGTTGGAATTCGCATGAAATGCTGCTTATCATTTCCCTTGGGCAAACTCGAGTGTTTTGTAATGTAATGCATCTCACGTAGACTTGTCGTTTGGTGTGTCGGAAGCGTGCGTCCTATCCCTTCAAAACCTCAAACGACCGCTAAAATATTTCAATTTTATTTTTTTAATGGAAAAAAATGTGCACAAATTTAGTTGTTGTGGCAAATGCCAAGCTGAACACTCGGACATGTGTGTATTTTTTTTTGTTTGCGTCGGTTTTGCAGCGCGGCCATCGCCAGCGCAGTCGCCTGCTTCCCTCGTCGTCCAGCGCCCACCACTACCAGTACCACGTGCGTCCCACGGCGTCCGGAGCCGGCGGTCTGACGCGTCTGCCCGTCATCGTCCACAGTCGCCCACAGCCGCCACCCCTCGTCGCCCTGGTGCCTCTGGCCGATGAAACCGCCTCGAGTGGAACCACCACCACCACCCCCGTTGCCACCGTCTGCCGCTGGAGTCCGCGTGACAACATTGTTTGACGCGGCGCTAGTGCCCCACTCGCGTCTACATTCAACTGTCTCATTTGTAGTCTATCCTGATTTTTAATTCAACGTTTTTATCTCATCGTTTGCGCCAACAAATAAAATTGGAAGTGTTTTCCTACAGACATGGAGTTGTCTTGAATTCGTTTTTTCCCTCGGTGATTGCAGGCTGTCGAGCTCGCAGATACCTTACTATGTCAGCAGTGCTGATAACCGAGTTAATGCACACAGGGGTCGCAGGTTACACCTTCTCGCTGTCATCAGAAGCCTTACTTGCGCTTAGTGTTCAGTCGTGTTCCAGGAATGAGTTTGGTGACCGAAAACGGCTTGACCGTCCCATGCCTGCCCATCTACTGTGTCAGTTTAGTCCGATAATGTGCTGAACACCATGCCGTGGACCCCGTCGAGACACACCGCCCGCACCCTCGCACACCGTGTCCCCTTTCGACTCGTTTGACCGGCTGTTAACTATAGTGTTGTACGGTAGTGCTAAATTTGGCCGCTTCACGCGCCTTATCATCCAAATTCTATTGGTTGATAGTGTCCAATGTTTAAATTTCTCCTTTCGTATTCGCCAAACACACAGCACTGAGCCATCAAATTGAGTGATTGGTCTCCTTAATCTTCCCGGGTATCTGCACAGTTTAAACGGACCAATGGAAACCAACTTTCTCCTGCCGAGTTTCTGAAGCCACTGTCCCTAAATTAGCGCGCATCTAGGTAACGCACGGAGATTGTAAATCAAGGTGGATTGGCAGCCAAGAATCCCGCTTTTCCAGTTTTCACTAACAACTCGGAATTCCAGCACAGTCTTCACTGGTTGTCCGTATATTCCTTAGCAGCCCTCTAAGAAAAGCGATAACGATTCGTCTAACATTACATTTTGCAAACCAACACAGTTAACATTCATGAGCGGACGCGCTTTGCACGCGTGAGCAAACGCAAATCAATCGATTTTTTGTGGACAGACAGCCACCGCGCGCGTGAGTGCTTGCCCGACTGTGTCAATGACTCACCCTCTTTGTTATTGATTTTTTGTTAACAGTCGCCTGTTACGCACGCGTGTCGATACGCACACTGAAGTTAGTACTCGATTTTTACGCGACTCGACTGGCGTGACGCGAATAAACCGTCGTGTTTCCTTTCTACTCTGCCTTCTCTGTTCTCGGGTTGTGACCGGCTGTTATCTATAAGGTTATTGTGGTAGTGCTAATTTAGGCCCCTACACCTTCATTGGGTACTCTGTGCTGCATTGTAAAACATAATCGAGTCACGCATGTTAAAGGACGCATTACGCGTTCAGTTGATTCGTGGTGCAATGGCAACGCATCCTAATTACACGCCAACTGTATACATAGCATATTTCTACCACGTTTTTTCGACCAAAAGTGCATCAGTTCATGAGGATCCTTCCTTGAAGGCATATTTTCGGACTGCCAGTGTAAAATGGTAAAAAAGACAGCAATCAAAGTAGGCGTTTTGATTGGTCTTGTTTGATCCGAAGACGTCAATGTTCGGGAGACGGTTTGGGCAGCAGAGGTTGGCACAGGTCGTAAAAGATCTCTCTAGGACCTTCATACTCCTATCTTCTTTGAGAGCACATAACATTGGACTTCTTTTCAAAAAACCACATCTAGTGAATTAGCAACACAAGCCAAAAAAGTTGTGTAAAAACCTGCCCAAACATCAGCAGGGATGCCTTGGATCGGCATTGAAAGTTAATAGACAGTGCGATGGGAGGTTGATTTGTGAGTTTGGAAGGATCAGGATAGAGTCTCTATCTTCACAGAGAGATTATTCTTGCAAATTTTAATGCGGAAGATTGTCCAAACTGTGGCACGTGTTAATGCCCGGGCTTGTGATTAGTCAACTTCGGGACAATTACAGCTGCTATGGTTGCTTACTAATTTTGAACCCTTCCATAGCTGGGGTTGATGCTTGAAAATAGGTGTAATTTTGAAGATAGCAGCAAATTGAAGTAGCTTCATCTCGCGAGTTATGGCTTCGGAGGTAAAACATTCTACTAGTGTAATTAAATAGGCAGGTTTGTTTCAACCATTGCAGGCCGAGGTCACACTTGGTGTTATCGATTATGAGGTCATGTCATTCAAACACGCAACGAAACTGTCAGTTTTCAAATAAGGTGTTTCACAAAGCAATCTGTGCAGATGTGTTCAACCGCGGACTTGGCGTTTCAGCCGCACATCTGGAAGTTTGGAGTTAAGCCATTGAAGAGGTGAATATTGTGGTTGGGACGGTCAACACGAAAGCAAAAGTTGATACAGAACCGACAGCAGCAAAATATGGCCACAGGTACCAACAGCAGAACCGGGGTTTGGGTGCAGGCGTCCTCAAAAGTGTACTCCATTCACAAAAGACGGCATGGGTGTGAGGGATTCGACTCTGGCGACCACATGTGCCCAGAGAAGCCATCTGGTGGAAAATTGACCTCGAAGGAAGAAGATGCGAGCAGTCAGTCGTTGTCAGCGCCTAACAAACGCACTGAGGAAGGCCGGCGTTCATACAGGTCTTCAATCTATGTTAATTTCGTACCGTATTCTTTACATACATTTGAAAAGAGAGAGGTTTTTCTTACGAAGCAAGTTGGTTCTTTGCTACAGCGCTGTGTAAATATTGAACTGCCAGATTCGAATGCTCACGCATCCAGGAGCACAATTTTCATCTACTGGTCGTCCAGTAGAACCGAGCAACCACTCAAAGAAAGCGATGGCCAGTGCCGCGTCCCTGGAACAACGACCGGGTGCCCGAAGGGTGACGTATCAGAATTCACCAACGCAAGGGATACTCGGTTTTCGGCCAATTCAGTACTAGCTGCGCAACTGACCAAGATAAACACGACTACAACAAATCATCGCGACGCTACACTAGAAGCAGGCGAAGACAATAAGGCAGGAAATAATGCTGTCGACTTGAGAGATGAAATCGGCGGTTTCGGACAGGACTGGGCAAATTTGTCGACATCTGAGCGTAGATTATCGCCCAAGCTCGGCGTGGCGCCTGGCGACGCTGTTTTAACAATGCACAAAGAGGAGTTTGGTAGGGCATCTCTGGTGGAACGCCAGATTGCAGGGCACGGATTGGTAATTAAGCAGCTACCTATCTGTAACCTGATAGGTGAGGCAGGCGATTGCATTGAACAACGATATGAATACCCTCCACCAAGGGAGACAAGCCCGCAGTCTCCATTTTTGTACTTGACGCTACCGAATGTAGGAGGCGAAAGGCATTCATCCGTGGTCAGCCTAGGCAAACTGTTGGCGCTTTTCACAAGCCCTGGTGGCGTGTGTTCGTGGGGACCGAGGGTGAACCATCAACAACACTTGGCCAAACCCCAGGCTGGGGGATGCTTAACAACACAGGATTTCCTTGTCAATTTGGCCAAGCTTCAAAGGGCTTACGCCTGTACGGAGGAAAGCATCAGCCATAATGTTGACAAGGCCACACAAACGGAAGCCATGTTTAAAATGGCGCCAACACAAGAAGGGAACAGGTTAAACAAGCACTGTCAGACATCGCGTCAACACTGGCTCTCTGCAACATGCAACACGAAACCATTCAGAGGACAAGACCGGTCCGATGGGAAGCAGCATTCTGACTTGCCATGCCACCGATTTGTGCATGGACAGGCTTCCAAAAGTGACTTGACCGAGCTCTGGGAGACGGCCACTTGCAGTGACACGTCCCTTGAAGCGGATGCACACACGGCTGTGTCGGTTCGCATTCCCTGTACAGTGAAGAACTCCAGGGGGATATATAACAGCCTTCAGTGCTCTAAAAGTAAACTAACTAAAACACCACTCGGGTGCACGGTCAGAACAACGGCACCTCCATCAATGCGTCAAAAACAACTTCGGCGACAGCAGGGTGGTGGTCAAATAGACATCAAACACCCGCCTCTAAAGAATAGGATGCATTTAAACAACCAGGAAGGTCAAATTCGGCCACAATGTGGGACAGCTTTTCTACAAAACCAAATCAATTTTGGCCATCGCGTCAAATCCACCTCTAGACTCACCAAATTACCTGCAAGGGATAAAATCCAACAGCAAACATTTTCCTCCCTGCAAAAACATCGAGGAAATCTCCATGGCCACACGAATATACCGCCTCTGAGACAAATACCTTGGAGACACTTTTGAGGAATTCCAGAAATCGTCGTGTTTCAACATTTTACGGGTATTTTTAGGCACTCTTCATCTTTGACTTAACACTTTATGGTTCAGATAGACATTAGTGTTTTGTAAAATAATTAGACAAACAAAAAGCAAACTCATTGCTAGCGACGAGTTGGTCGGTTTTCCCTGAACATTTCTCATCACCCGGGGGTCTAACATTGCCTTGCTAGTGCTTAATTAGAACATAGCTTTACTTGATATACCCTGCATGCACCTGATTGATCAATCACCAAAGTCCCGAGCCCACTAACTGAACAGACTCACGGAAATACAAAAAAACGAACCACAAACCATTACAAAAGTGGAGGATGAAGAGTTTCAAAATGGAAATGATAATTAGAGTGCTGGATTAGACAGTAGCGGCCAGGTTTCTCTTGCTTGCCTCAGTCTGGTGGGAATGAAAGGAATTCGATTTACAAGGACCGGAGGGGTTACGATTGATTACTTTACATTTAGGTGCAAATACAAATACTACAGTAAGACTTCACGCCACAAAATGACTAACATTCTAGCTAATAATTATTTGCAGTCCAGATACTTTGCTTGACCACAATACTGCTCGGATCTTTCAGCGCAATCCAGAGTGTACCGATTGCAGAAACATTTTAAAAGGCTGCTTACTGCATGCGTAGCTCAGTTAACGGTACCAACCGTTGTCTCTGATCTGAATGGGACATTAATGTGCCTTTAACATTCACTAATTATGTAGACAGCGAGGTATCGACGGCGGAGGCAATATAGAAAATATTCATTATTTGAAAAAGGCGAAAAATTACGATCTAACGATGCCGACTTAGCACAACAACTGCAACAAAAAACTTGGTCATTTCTGGTAGCCCTAATGTCTTTTGTTCGCAGCTCAGCGGTAATGTTTCCACGTACTTCAAGAATATTTACCACCGAGCTGGCAGCAGAACATGCCATCAGACGAAGTACCGCCATGTTATGCAGCGTCTGCCCACGTGGCGAATTTCCGAGCCAGAACATTGCCATGCGTCGCGCTACTTCCTGTTCCGTTTAAGTTCAAACAGGACTCACAAATACCGACCACCGGGACGACTTTACTCTAACTTTATGGCCCACCAGCCAGCACAGCTGTGCTCTCAAATTGACGGGTCCACTGTGGCCATTCTGGAGACCCCAATCACGAAATCAATCAGAGGCCACACCAAGCATCTCACGATTACCTCATGAATCTGCTTGACTTGAGAGCACACTCCAACGCCACGCCAATTGTCCAAGTGTCCTCAGCCCTAAACACCTTGCAGCCGTGTCTGCCCACAGCGATGTCCGTCAATGTCTCTTAGGGCCACTGCAAACCACCACCACCGCCTTACCTACATCACTCCCCACCAAGCAACACTCCCACCACAACTGCAACCATCAAGCCACCGACACTTACACACCCCTGCCCCACCCCCACCCCCGACGCCACATCGCCAGGCTCTAACCAACTCACTCACGCACACACACACACACGCCGCCCAACACCAACATCCTGCCGCCTGCACGCCACCCCCTCGCTTCTTTCCATTTCTCATGACTGCGCACCACCACAAACCACAAATGAAGGTGAATCATGAGTCCGCGACACAATTCCTTTCACGTGGGGGCGAGAACTGATGTCACCAATACAACCAACGCTTTTGATGCCAAGCGCGACTGAGTCCTGGCAACTTTCAACACCAGGTTGCACTCTGTTTCCGGTAATCATCACTTTCCTGAGCCTTAATTCAAAATACCACCACCTCCAAATCGAACACATCGTCATGGAAATCAGGAGTTACAACACTCTATTCACATTACATACACAGCTAGAAAATGTCAGCAGTCAAGTTAATGTACACATCATTTGCCGCGTTCTAATTAGCTCTGTTTTCCCCATTGGGTTCGTTACTTTCACTTCCTTCGCTAGCACCAGTGCCCTCTTCCTCTTCTTCCTCAGTCTCCTCACAACTTACCACCGACAGCTCTTCGTCGGGTTGTCCGTCGTTTGGTGAGGGATCAAAGTAAGTCAGAGACACATCGTAGGCATACAACTGTTGATGGTTGGCGTCGCGACCACTACCTCCGCCGGGCGCAGGAAGGGGCTTCGCCTTGGCGTTCAAGTAGCGAACAAAACTCGCGCAGTCCGAATCACAGTAGACGAGAGTCAGTGAGTTGTCGTTCGGAGTGATCCGCAGAAGCTGAAGGGTTTAAACATCACGCGTGCTTCTTTTTCACCATTTTACTAGCACATCAAGCAACATCAAGGCCACCTAACCCACCTCTTCATTATCTGTGAGGGATACGTAAACTATCTGACCGTTCCACGACGGTTGCCAACAGGCTTTGTCGCCACCGCCACCGCTAGAACTCGTAGGGCCACAGCCTGAGTGGCTTCCATAGCCGGAGATGTGATAGAAGAGGTCTAGACGCCAGGCGACATCGTCGCCAACAGTGGAAGGAACGGGAACGACTCCGGAATTGGCATCGGCCAACAGGGTGTACATGCCACTGGACCAGCGATGGAACAAGGCGGATGTTAGCTCCGCGGGTTCCCCTAGCCCATCGGTGTCGTCTAGGCGAGCGCGCTTCGTCTTGATGCTGGCAGACGCCTCGGCACCGTCTAACTGAAAATGCAAAATGCCGTGAGAACCGATATTGCCTCAAAATTTGATTTGCTTATCATCAACGCCCAAACCAATTGCCAATGTCCAGCAACACGGTAAACGCGAGCCCCATCGGCTATCAAGGATCCTACAAGACGATGACAAACTAACCTCGTCCTGGTCTTTATCCTCACTCCGAGTCAAACTAGCTAGCGGGTGAAGCAAAACGCCAGTCATTTGTGAGAGAATAACCAGCATCGCCTCGGACTGCCAGAGACGGCGCACCTGGCGACACTCTTCGGGTAGCGTCGCGTCTTCAACCTTGTGCGACAGTACACTGGTATTTCTGCAACAGAAACACGAAATGTGGAACAAGACACACAGCCCCAACGTAGGAGTCCACGCGATTGCAGAGCGGCTGGCATTAGGAACTAGCCATGAACTGCATTCCCAAACCATCGAGGAGTGTGGAGAGGTGAATATGATGGTTTCTTGGAACATATTTAGAAGCCGGGGATACAAGTAATTGCCCTCATGAGATTACGCTAGATGCGTCGCACATCAACTGAAATTAACGCTATAAAAAATCTTGAGGGTTCCCCGATTAACTACAGAGAAACACTTGAGATGAAGGTTATTTCTACTGGCACACATCAAGCACAATATGCGGGCATAATTGAGCTTCGACCTTTGACTCCATAACGGTTTAAGTGACTCCATGACAGTGATTAGCAATGTGCTTTGATAAATGGCAGCGGAAAATGAGGCCCAGTGCGTGTGTGTGTGTGTGGAGTCTGTGTCATCCACAGTTGATTACAGCGTCTAAAGCAACTGATGTCGCTTCCAATCTACTTTCTTGAAATAACAAATCCAGTAACACGAACAGAATGCAATTCATCCTGCAAAATAGCAACTTCCCATCAGTGTCCGGTGAAGCGTGACGCGGTTAGTCCAGCTTCCAACCCGTTTAATGTAGCGCACAGGCTGAATATGGCAACCAATGAGGAACCACAGGTGGTACGTGCGCACTCCGCATTCACCAACAAAAAGTATAAAATACGCTGGAATAAAGCCACGAACGCAGGTTCCGATAAGGCAGTGGATGCATCCAAGGTCTGTCATTTGGAATTAAAAACTGAGTATTATAACAATGATTCAAAGTACTCTTTACTAAAAAAGGGAATTTTTAAGATTTAGGACCTATTGGATAAGAAAGGGGTGGGTTCTAGAATAAGGCCTCTTAAATGTGGACAACGGACACCGCAGTTTTCAAATTCCGATTGCCATAGGGCCACATTACCCAATATACGCTAAGTTTGATTAGGGTTCAATAAAGTTCTCAAATCGTTACAATTGGAAGCATTTAAACTGTACCAAACCAGTTGTGCAAAGACAAACCGTAGGAGAGCCACATAAAGATCAGAAGCCCAGGCTGGTCGAGAATTAGTCATCTGAAGGACTCTAGTACCACCATTAAACCCACCAGTTATGAATTAAACAACGACAACAACACGAACCTCAGATTCATTGGACCCTCCTGCGTCCAGAGTTGGTTTTCAATGCAATCCAACGCCTTGCACAGCTTCTCCCACTCACGCTCCTGAAATGCGATTTTTTGATTCGTTTCACAATAATATCCCTTGTTCGTTCATCATCTATTGTGATTTACGACCTTGCTACTCATCCGCCCCGTGAACAAGCCTTTAAGCAACTGGTCAACGATTACGTTGACATGGATTCAATGGTTTTATGTAGCTTTGAAACGACCTTTTCAATCTACCACTAAACTCATTTTGACTACAAGCCACGCATTACGACATTTATGGCCTGGGAACTTACGACAAAGAATTGGGGCAAACGAATCTCTGATGTAGATCTAAAACGGCGAAGAATAGCTTTCTGCTGCTCCATATCGATGTAAACGGGATTAATCCACTTGTAGACTAGTCCTTCCTACAATAAAAAAACCCGCCTAAATCAGCTTGTCCGCAATATTCAACACATCGCACCAAATGCATGAAGTTGGGTATGCACGAGGGATGATATAGCAAATTCACCGTAGCCACAAACACTGAACTACAACTCACTTCGATAAAGCACGGAGGAATACGCGGCACGCGGAGAGGATCACGGGAGCAATGAACCCTGGGAAGAGGATCACTCATGTACCACCCATGGATCGACAACCGATCTCTCCTTCCAATCACCTCCGCAACCTACCAGAGAGAATTTAAATTGAAAATCATTGACCTGTTAAACAAGATGCTTACCATAAACTGCAAAGCCAGCCGCAAATACCCTGTCGTGAATCGTGTTTATTCAACCCCTTAATCCGGTCGCTCCACCTCCTACACAGGGTGCTCCATGTCGCAGCATTTCGCCAGCCGCGCGGATCCCCAACTCTCCCTTCATTGGCATGGATATTTATTTTGGAGTATCCCCACACCTAGGTCTCGATGCTGGCGCATGTATGACTCATGCACCCGAGGTATGAATACACCCCACACTCGACACAACGACACCAACGTGGTTGAGCTCTGAAGTAAACGGTTGTGTCCACGTCCGCACCCGTCTTTTTCTTGACCGTGGGTATCAGGGAAAAGTAGTCGGGTCAGGGTTACTTCCGTGGCCCCGCCATGATTCAAGACCACATGCTGGGGCCCACAAGAACCTCGTATAAGAGAAACCCTAGTGCCGTTAACGTTGCTTTAGTGGAAATACAGACGCTGAATGCAATTAAATTTGGTCTTGTGAGTAATTTAATCCTTCCAATACTGTTAATGGCATTTTAAAGTCAAAATGTCCGCCACTTAACAAAAGAACTCTATGTAAGGATTAACATGGGATTCCAGATCGCTAAAATTTCTGCTTAGCATACACTGACGGATGCTGAGACAGTAACCATTAACCAGGTCTGTGGTCTGGTCAGTCAAGAAGGAAATCAATTCAACTAACCTGGTGAAAAGACCTCGCACAAACCTCGAAGAAGGCGAGGCAGTTACGGGCGGGAGGGATGGAACGAACCACTCGCCAAGGGTGATAAGCCTCGCATTCCCCAGGCACTGCTGTGCAGTCAGGTGTGGGACCACTTTCAAAAAGATCGAGAGAGCCACCGTCAACACTGGAATCCCACTCCTCAGGAACCAAATAAATAATGAAGGCGATTCGTCGGCGCTCCAATTCGTCATCGTGGCATAGGAGATAGTCTGCAAACGAAACAAGGAAATGTAAATAACACTTTGAGTTATTTTGCACTTTTGTCCACCATTAGAAAATATAAAATTTCCTTGTCTGAAGTCAGTACTTTTTGGAAATTGCGCTTCAGCTAAAAAGTGCCATTACAAGGCTCCAAAACGTAGGCATTGAAGCTGTTTAATTAAAGACAACGTTGGCCTGACAGACGCACATACGACGGGAAGTGTCAAACTTCAACTTCTGTCTCGAAGTTAAATACACATGCAGTGGATTGACGGTCATGTTTTATATTAAAAAATCTTACCATGTGGCTCATAAAGAGAAACAGTGGAATTCACCTCCCCTTCATCCAGGTCTATTCCAGTGATGTCCTTCATCCACTTTAACATATCGGTTGCGAAAAACTGCCTAAAATACAGTCAAAACACGAGGCTCGATTTGTGTCAGAAGCCTCAAAACCGATGGAAATGCAAACCATAGGGCTTCTGCATGCGTACAAACAAGACTCACCTAAGGTTAGACAAAAGATTGAACCTTTTGGCTAGTTCCCCATTCTTGTTAAGAGTTTTTAAGTCATCACTTTGATTAAAAGAAAAAAGATCGTTTTGCCTCCTGTTGAAGGGAAATTTTCGAGCCTCGACTTCCAGGTCATCAAGCACGGTAGTTTCTAGAAAATTCGGTAGCACAGCGCACGTAAACGGCGAGTGAATTATTTTTAATTCGCCTAAAAGGAGACAAAATAGCTCTTGCAAGGCATGCGCGAGACGACGTAACACCAAAATCGACTTAGTCTAATACCATCGTCGTCAATAGTTTTTTCTGGTGAACTAAATGCTTCCAAAAATAACTTTTGGAAGTCAGTAGTACAATACTTCGGGTTAATCGAGAACGGAGGCGGCATTGTGTTGTGAGTCTGAGCCAAAGATATTAAAAATCACGCTAGTGCAATTAAGTAGCGTGTTTGACGTCGGATTAAAGCGCAGACACATTGGACCACGCTGGCATCAGCCAATCCTGTGTCGCTCTTCGTTCTAATGGCATGCGAGGAAGATAAGCAGCCAACCAGAGAAGGACACTACTGAGGTGTAGTATGTAATCAGTGGCGTGGCCAGCGTGGCGGACTCGGATGGAAGGCGCCTGACGCGTGGCTCTGGCTTCTGATTGGTCAATGAAGCCTGTTCTGTTGTACCCGTCTTTTTCCTATTAGGACTCTGGTATTTTACACGTGGTTTGGTATGGTGACGGACCAGGGCGCAGACATATTAGACCACAATGGCTTCAGCCAATCCTGTATCTCTCTGCGTTCTAAAGGCATGAGAGGAAGATAAGCAGCCAACCAGAGAAGAACACGAATGAGGTGCAGTATTAATGAGTGGCGTGGCCAGTGTCGTGGACTCGGATGGAAGGCGCCTGACTCGTGTCTCTGGCTTGTGATTGGTTAATAAAGCCTGTTCTGTTGCACCAATCTTTTTCCTATCAGGGCTCAGGTATTCTACAGCAGCGTCGGATAAAGGCGCAGACATATTGGCCAACGCTATCTTCAGCCAATCCTGTGTCTCTCTGCGTTCTAATTGCATGCGAGGAAGATTAGCAGCCTACCAGAGAAGGAAATGAATGATATGCGGTATATAAGGAGCGGCGTGGCCAGATTGGTGGACTAAAATAAACGGCGCCTGACTTGTGGTCGTGGCTTTTGATTGGTCAATAATTCCTGTTCTGTTGCATCAGTATTCTTCATACTAGGGCTAGGGCACTCTACAATGGCTGCAGCGGATGCGTTCAAATAACGCAAATCGAACCCCAGCTCTTTTCCTTCTATGGACAACAGAGTCAAAAGACCCTTAAATGCCAACTGAAATTTTCATGGTGGGTCATCCGATGTCCCATACACGGGATCCATAGACATTACTCGGGATTAGGAAGAGGCATTGGAGGGTTCGGACTTGTGGAATTTTAAGGAAAACTGCTTTGATACAACGTTTTTCATCATGAAGTGGCCATAGTAATCTTCATTAGTAGCTTAGAGAGCATCTGATATTGGCCGACAGAAGTTCGCCTGGATGGAACACGCTTTTAACGCCTGGATGGAACGCCCAGATGTACAGCCGCTGGCAGATGGTTCGGTTATAGCATGTCTATTAACTGTACTAGGTGCGCCAGGTTACCTTCGTTCCAGAAATCGGAAGCGTTTCGATACCAAGAATCTAACCCTATTTTTTCGCCTCTTCTGCTATGAGCGATGAAGCATATGGCTTAAAAGACAATCGCAGATCATTTACTTTCTTTAGACCCGGCAAAACCAGTTGAAATTCGCAGAAGCAGCCTAAAGAATGTTTCAAAATTCTGGATCGACGGTTCTCATGATAGGGCTGACACGATTAATGAGCAAGATTAACATGATACATGAAGCTTATAAAGTATTAATTGCTTCGACATCAAACAGCAAAACTCCTAATTATCAATACACTATTATAAATATTCGTCAAGACCATATTTTTCTTGCCATCTATTACATTCCAAATAATCAAACGAAGAGAAAAATTCGGCTACCTACACCTCTGGCTTTGCCTAAGTAAATCTCTTTTAGGTTGCATACCACTGAATGTTTTGATTTTCAAATCTATGCAAGATCAAGTTGGATGCACAGATTTCGATGGCAACTTAAGCAGTAGTGTACTTATGTTTATTTTTATTACTTGCTTATTATGAATGAAACTTTGAGGTTTTGCCTAATTTTTCATCGCGTTTAATAAACTGTTATCCTCTTCCGTATATTTTTCGTCGCCTCTTTGTCCAGTCTTTTTTTAAGTACAAACCATATTCTACTTTGAACCATCTACCGTCTGCCCGACAACAAAAAGGCATCAGTATTTACTGTCGACCCTCCATTATTATTTATTACGTAATGCAATTACAAAAGTTTTTGGAGATAGGCCAGATTTCGGTCTTATTTATGCCAAACTGGATAAGTAAGTTTGTCTAATCTACATTTACCTTTTACGTTGAATAAAGAGATTATTAATACTCTTCTTATCGTTCGTTGCATTAGCTGCCGCCAGTGCGAATCCCTGAGCCCTAGTGTGAAGAAGATACGCACAACAGGTCAGGCTTTTTTGACAAACGCTAAGCCCGATTCTTTAATTATGCACCGCCACTCCGAGTCCACTATATTGGCTGGTTATTACATTCACCCTGATCTTTATTTGGTTGGAGATCTTTAAAGCAGGTCATTCAAAGGCTCAGCAACGGAGGGTTAACTGAACCTGTCCTGATTTATAGTGTCTGTGGCTTGGTGCAGCATAACAATTGGGTGAACCAGTATGGCTGCGGCCTTAGTGTCTTTAA